AAATGGCTCTGCGGTGGCAGAAAAAAGGACATCATTTCAGTTAATAGGACTTTTAGGGCACTGCCACACTTCTGATATCTCCAAAGCAATAACAATAAAACCCCAGACCAAAACACCCAAGAACCGGCATGTCTGAAGGAGTCCTTGCCTTTTCTAAACCCAAGCTGGTTTGAACAAAGGAAGGAAATCGACTAAAGGGAAGTCAGGTGAAGCTTGATCTACTTTATTTATTTTGAGACAGGGTTTTTCTGTGTAGCCCTGGCGGTCCCAAAACACACTGTGTAGACCAGGCCCAGCTTGCGCTCCCAGAGATCCGCCTGCCTCTGCTCCCGGAGTGCTGGGATTAACAGAGTGTGGCACCAAGCCAGGATGCCTTATTTTAAATAAAGGGATGCAGTGATTCTTGGGAAATCTAGTTAAGGTTTGAGTTTGTTCTTTGATACCCTGCTGGAAACCTCTCTGGCCTCACCGCTCTGCAAATGAGAGCTCGGAGATCCCACTGTCCCAATTACAGAGCTGAGTGGGCAGGAGAGGTTCATAGCTGAGATTCAATAACTGAGAATAAGAGACAGATTCCTCGACTCTCTGAGTCTTGGAAGGATAGAAGACTGAGAACGAGTTGAGGTCCTTGAAAGGTGAGTCCTGAGGCTCTCATTCAGCAGCCCAGCATAAGTCTGATTAATGTTAAATCTGTTAAAGGAACAGTGTCAGGAAATGCTCCTTAGCTTGCTGTGCACGAACTCTTGCTGTATGTACGTTGTGACTCCCTATCTACTCTTGGATACAATGTACACTTTAGAAATTATTTATTTAGCGGGGCATGGGAGTTCAGGCCTCTGATGCCAACACTTTGGAGGCAAAGGCAGGCAGATCTTTGTGAGCTGGAGGCCAGCCCGTGTGCATTGTGAGGCCCTGTCAAAAAAAAAAAAAAAAAAAAAACAAAAAAAAAAACAATTAAACTTATGTACTTATTTGATTTTTTTTTTTCCCCAGACAGGGTGCTCAGTCTGGTGTTGCTGAGGTAAGTGGCCCTGTTTCAGCCACTGAGATTACAAGAGTATATACCCCACGGCCAGGTGAAAATCGACAAACTCTCTTTCCTTTCTTCAGAGAGAGAATAAAGAAGAAAAGGGGAAGACAACAAAAGCAACAAGTCCCAGGAAAACAGTCACGTTTGAACCCAGAACACCCTAGTTTCGAGCTCCCCAGCTGGGCACTGTCTTTCCTTTGTGGACGTTTACGAACAAAACACACAAAAAAGCAACAACCGTCGACGCAGTCGTGATCGACTTAAGGTTTTGATTTGCACTTTCAAAATAGTCAATCAAACTGGATGTGATGGCAAATGCCCATAGTTTCAGTGACGCAGGAGGATGGTCTTTCTTTGGTACATAGGCTTTTTCTCAAAAAAAAAAAAAAACACAAACAAACAAACAAACACTAATAACAACTAAAAAAGAAAGGAGACAGAGAGAGAGAGAGAGAGAGAGAGAATGAGAGAGGGAGAAGGTTGGGTTCAGTTTGCTCCCCAGGGAACATTCAGCAATGTGTAGAAACATTTTGATTGTGACAACAGTGGAAGCCAGGGGCGCCGCTGGCTGTTCGGCATTCTGCAATGCCCAGGCCAGCTCCTCCGCAGCAGGAATCCGCTCCAGCCTTAGTATGGCCCAGTGTTAAAGCACAGGTCCCAGGAAAATCCCGGCAGCGGATCCTCCTGACTTTCTGAGCTCCCGCCTCACCTTCCAAGCTCTGGCATTGAAGGTGTGCGTCCCCACGTCCCAGGGATGAAAAGCAGGGATGTCTGCACTCTAAGCCAGCCCTAAACCAACCGAACCACACCCCCAACCCTAGTCATCCATGTGCCTTCGTGTGTGGGGAGACTGCTTCAGATCACACCCAGGGCCCCCTGCCCATGATAAGGCAAGGACTACTACTAAATTATGGTTTACATTCTTGCCTACTACATTATTTTATATGAATTGTTTCTGTCTATTGCTTATGTTTCTAACTCTCAATTTGTTTTCCTTTTAAAAATGAAGTGCAGGCTTCACTGAGGCTAGACAGTACCAGTACCATCAAAGTTAATGAAATTCTTGCATTTTGTTTCTTTTTATTAGTTTTGCTTTCTCCTTTCACTGCACAGACGTATTAACGTCTCCTTCTGGGACTTTCATTTACAATTTTAACATTCTTTTTAGGTGCTGGTCACCTCACCCAACCTCGAGCCTCTCCACAGAGGCCCTGAGGAAGACTTGGCAATTGATGTCAGCAACCCGCAGAGGGAAGAGTAGTCCCAGGTCTCTGAAGGCAGCCCAGGAACTAATTTCTCTTAATCACTTGTGGGGCCCCAGGAGGAGCCACAAGGCAGACGGGGAAATAAATCTGAAGGAGAAAACCACATTCTGTGAGGAGCTGGAGAGACCTATATTAAAAACGGGGCACCATACCTTTAGGACTTAAGAGCTGGCTGGGCTCCATCCCTATGCAGCTATTAATATGCAAAAAAAGCCTTCATAAATACTTGATTCTGCTCACAGTGGGGAGGCCGATCATTTGAAAGGGGAAATGGGCGCTTGGAGTTGAAGCACGTCTGCTTGTCTCCTTTCTCCTTTTTTCATTGCTCTTTTCATCTCCTTGTAGTTTTCTTCCCCCTATTTCTCTGACTTAACCCCCTCGTCTAACTCCAAGGAAGTTGCTGGTGGCAGCTGCTGCGCTCCATTGACGCCCTTGGCACTGAGGCCCGGAACCTCCGGCTACGGGAGGAAGGGGTGCCTGGGGCTTTTTCCTGCAAACGGTACCGGGAGGCTGGGGGCCCCTCAGCCTTTTGTGCTCTGGCCCTAGCCAGGCAGCCGCTGAGGCCTCAGAGCGGAGGTTTTGGATACTGCCGGCAGGGGGAGCCTCCGGACCCCGGGCACCCGGGCACTCTTGCGGACTTGGACCACACAGCCAGCCTTCCTCTCCCTCAGCCTTCCCAGTCGCAGGCCTGTGGCTTCTCAAAGGCTGGCTACATCCAAAAGGTTTGGGATTCTCGGCTAGCACTGTGACTTAGAGACAAAAACAGCACGGACGTGTTTTGTATGAGTGAATTTAGAATGAGGCCAGACCCTGAAGGATGGGGGGAGGAGGTGAGTCCGCCAGGGATCGATAGAAAAGAGGGGAGGGCTTAATTGCTGCTGCTGCTGCAAGCCAGTTTTGTGCTTCAGAGCAAGAGGCCCTAGCAGAGGCAGGGAGGCCATGGCTTGGGCCACTGGCCCCTCAAGGTGGGTAGCTGAAGTCTGCTGGGTAGAAATTTGTTTCTAAATCCTTTCCAGATGCTTTATAGTAAACATGAAATTAGTCATTTATGTGGAGTAGGTTGAGGAAGTAGTTAAAATCCGAGGCAGTGATTAACCTAATAAAGGGCTGGTTAGCCTCAAGAAGTAAGGGGGTGGTGGTGGAGGAGGGGCGAGAGAGGCCAGAGGATGCCCCTTTGCATGGTCCAACCCATTTTTTCTTGGCTTGGGGACTGCTGAGGCTCCCTAGACTTTTCCTTGTATGGCTTCTCCTCCCTGGGCTCCTTTTAAAGGAAGGAAGGCTATGGTGACGCCAACAGGCCAAGCAGCTCAGGAGGGAACCCCTCCTCCGTTTCGAAAGGTATCCTCAGGGTTGGAGAACTTACCAAGGCCTTGCTGATGAGCCAAGGGTTGGAGCTTAAGACCCAAAGTCTATATTGTATTTTCGTAGTCACAGCTCTCTAATTATTATTGCTATCGTTATTATTTAAAGTCTTCAGATGCCTCATGAAAGTGTCTTCAATGGAGGCAAAGAACACACAAAGAATATATACATGATATGTATGTATAGAATATATGTGCATATATATATATATGTATATGTTGTTTCTGTGCCACCTCCGTAGCAGAGAGGTGGCCTGGGTGTGCCTGGCTTCGATGGAGGCCTGAGTCAGGCCCGGTGTTCTAACGTGGGAGCTGAGTTCAAACACACGTGCAGAGAGACTCATTTCTGCTCTGTTGACAAGTGCTGGGGAAGAGGGGAAAGACCAGCAGCCGAGGCAGGAAGTCAGAGATAAGAGAGGAATGGAGATCCTGCCCTCGAAGCCATCAGAGTAGGGGAGGGGCCTAAGTGTTCCCAAGCAGCACCTGCCTCAAATCCCTGGAGTTAGCTCCAGCAATGCCCCACTAGCTCCTCCTGAGAGACTGAAGAGACGTCACCCACCGTCAGAGGGTCCGATGGAGGTCACTGACAGGTAAGTCTGCACACATTAGATATTCCCAAGCCATCCAAATCAGCACCTTCCTTCCTCATAGTTATCCTAGCTGTGGTGTGTGTGTGTGTGTGTGTGTGTGTGTGTGTGTGTGTGTTGTGGCATATGTGTTCTCGGGTGTGTGTGATGGAGGCCAGAGGCTGACATCTGCCTTTACTGTTCTCTATGTTATTTGTTGAAGCGGGCTCTCTCACTGACTGGCTAGGCTGGTTGCCCAGTGTCTCCTGGTCACCTCCCGAAGTGCTCCCATTACAGATGCCGCTCTGCCCCTCTGCTGCTGGCCTTTCATGTGGGGTCTGGGGACCTGGACTCAGACCCTCATGCCTGCCTCTGTGGCAGGTGCTTTGTCGATGCAACCATCTCCACAGCTCCTATCCTTGATGATTTTAAAACAACCAGCAACAACGCGCTTGGCCGCTATTTCCTCCCCCGATGTGGAAGGAAAATGTGAGCTTCCTGCTCGCTGTTGCTGTTTGCAGTCTCACTCCCTTTCTGACTTTGCAGAAGTCTGGGGGAATCTGCTTTGCTTCTCCACACACACAACAGAATCCAAGTTCCAAGCTTGAGCCTAAGGGAACCTGGTGACGTCACAGTTTACTCACTCATTTTACTGATGAGATAAATGAGGCCCCAAAGCGATGAAGAGTCTCACTTAGGGTCAGATAGCATGTTGGGACAGGAACCCCAGACAAGTCTTGACTCCCAGTGTCATTCCCATTCACAGTCACTATTGTACCTGATGCCCTGCTGCTTGAGTCAGCGGTGAGGAGGCTTCAGAAAGATTCCCATGAGGCCTGGTTCTGGATCCAGGGTTTGCTACGGTGAAAAGTCAGAGAGAAAGGGGGTCAAGGCCGCACGTCTAGATCTCTTGAACTTTCTTACGAACCATATCCGCACATGCTTACCTCATGTGCACTAAAGATGTGAAGTGCACGCCTATGGCATTACCGGGTATCACCCGCGGTCTCTGTGGGCACATCGAAACACCTTGTTGAGTGCGGGTAAGCTTTATATTCACATTTAGGTTTTTAAATTTTTTTGATTGGTATTTAAAAGAACAAAGATCTGTAGATCCTTTGTGCTATTGGAATTCAGATACAGCTGAAATTAAAAAGGAAATATCGATGGGGAAGGGGGAAAAAAACCCCCCGCTGATGATGCTGTTGAATATAAATTCTGTATGATCACACTTTGCTGAGATGGGAAAACGCTTCTGAAAGTTTCCAGGGAGATCAGAGATTTCCCCTGCCCCCCCAAATGTGGAGGCCAACAGGACAGTGTGATGTGGGACATGACAGCACTTTCACGTGAGCCACCGTGGAGTTAGCCTGTGATTTGTGTCCCTGTTCTTGGCACCGGTTACTACAGGCCAGGCCGCAAAAAGGCACACTTGGCATTTTTACAATTTACTTGATTTAAACGCTACATGTGTGCGTGCCTGTGTCATCACGAGTGGCTGTGCCTGTGGATGCGTGTCCCCTCGGAGGCCGGAAGATTAGGCCAGAGCCTTCCGGAGCTGCAGGTACAGACAGCTGTGGAGCAGCTGGTGCTGGTGCTGGGAACTGAACTTGGGTCCTCTCTGTAAGAGCAGCAAGCCGTCCTGATAAGCAGTGATCTGCTGCTACCCCCATCCCTCTCCTGGTGTGTGGGGACAGGGTCTCATGTAGCTCTGGCTGGCCTCGAGAACTCTACAGCCAAGGGTGACCTTGGATTCCTGATCCTCCTCCTAGCTCCCAAGTGCTGGAATTATAGGCGTGTGCCACCCTACCAGCTCCAGCTGGGAAAGTTCCGTGGAAGAGCTGGGTGTGTGGCCCAGACTCCAAGATGCTGGAAGACAGGGCGATGGAATGTTTGTAAAGAAATGTTTCTTTGGGGGTCACATTTGGCTGAGCACACGACTCTATGGGTGTAGATTCTAGTCTCTTCCCTGACACTTACTTCTCCCTCATCTCCACACTCGCTGGTAGATCCTTTGGAGCCTGTGGCCATACGTCATGCTGTTTCCTCACCGACTTGATTCCAAGACAGTATCTGTCTTTTTCTAAGCTCAATTTTCTCTGTGGTTTCTCAGCTTTTTTTTTTTTTTTTTCTCCTTTCTGGATTTGTTTGGGAATGGCTTGTGCATAAACTTAAAACACATTCTAAATTTGAATCGGGTCAGGGAAACTGAGGCTCAGAGAGAATGGGTTTCCGTGGCCTCAAGCCTACACTTTATTTTAAAATAGCTTGACCGGAGCCCAGAGCCCAGATGTCCTGAGCGGCCTCCCGTTAGCCTGTGCTTGCCGCATCACAGCTGCCTGGCCGGGATCCAGGCTCTGGACAGAGCCACCCGGCAGAATTGTGCTGCGCTGAGGTTCACTTCACAGTGGCTTCGGAAGAGCCCTGGGCCTTTCAGAAATGAAACGTATAAATCCTAATGCATAAGGGAAGGTCTTGCAACAGCAGGAGAGGGAGCCAGTCAGCCAGAGTTCAAGAAATGTAAACACGTCTTTAGATAGGAGACTGAAAAATCACTTAGGGCTTCTCATCTCTTGGGTCAAGACCTTGGTGATTTACGGAGGTCCACGCTGTCAAGGAGGAGCCGAGACCTCGACCGCATTCCTGGCAGATAAAGCAGTGGGGTGGTAAGCCCCCCTCCTGGAGCGACCCAGGCCACTGTCTCCCCCGGGGGGGGGGGAGGGAGGGGGCTTTCTCCTGTGCTCAACCAAACCAGACCCCACGTGACTTCAGCTCTACTTCCGGGCTGCCTGAAACCGCACGTGGCTCCCATGTGATGAACACGTCCGGCCAGGAGAGAGATGAACAGAAAACACGCTCCCTGGCTGCCCATCAGCCAGACAGAGCACATTTCCCAACGCTCCCATTGATCTCACCACCAGCTCTTTGTGGGGGAGATAGCGCTCCTCCCCAGATAACCAGGCTATCCAGGGGTGACCCTGCCTGGAGGGGTTTATCCTCGGGCCCCTCCTGCCTCCTTCAAACCGTCCTTCCCCAAACACTCAGACCTCGGAAGGTGGAGCGTGGAACCCGGCTCCCTTTAAATTTCTTTCTATCTAAGTCTGTGTTGACACTGTTTAATTCCCCAATTGCTGTTTTAAATAAAAATGAAATACAATTATATTTACTCCTGCTGTTTGGGAGTGCTCATTTCCAGGAGTGGGGGAAGGTCTGACGGGACCCATCTGGTGGCAGAATAGAAGCCTCACTGGCCAAGCGGGGACAGGTGGGCCTCCTGGCCCCTTCTCCTCGCCTGTCAGGGCTTGGTAAACACTGGCCCGGCAGGCTCCAAAGTGGCCAAATGGTTACCAGGGCGGACGCTGTTGGAGGTGCCGGCAGGAGCCTCTTGAAATCTGTTCAGGGCCTTCCTCCGCACACCATTTCTCAAGAGCATACGCTTTGATCGCCCGGCTGCTGTCAAGAGAATTTCCTTCCTAACCTGCAGTGTCTCCGTCCGGCAGGGATAGATAGAGCTACTGCCACACACACCTCGGAGTGCCCTGGCCTTCCACGGCTTTGTGCCGAGCCTCGCTGGCCTCAGCGGAAACCAGCAAGAGAACGACCCTCCCCCCCCATCAGCCCTGGTACCTTCAAGGTTTTTGTGTTTTGGTCATAAATGGAAAATGCAAATGCAAATTCCAGATTATTAAAAAAAAAAAAAAAAAAATCTTCCCAGGGCAAAAGCAGCTATAAAAGGAAGGAGACTGAAGTGCAGCTGACCTTTCCTCAAAAATATCTAAAAATATTTTATATGATGTGACTCAAGATGCTTATGACCTATGGAGTGGTATAATAAATTTCAAGTCTGTTTGCTGAGTGCAGGAGACCAAGACCCAAGAGGGCCTGTTGGGGAAGCCATTATCAGATTTTTAGGATAAGATGTAAGGCTTTGTTTATGCTACCCATTTTCCTTTTAAATCTTTCTGGCTGAGAAGGAGGGAGAGATAGGCACATTAAACAATTGCTAGGGACCTAAGAAGGCCTCCAGGCCAGAGCCATACCCTTGGGAGGTCCCGCTGAGATGCCTGTCTAGAAAATATGAGTCAGTCAGAATTTAAATATGGATGTGCCTTGCAAATGTGAGAGCCCTGTTTTTCTTCCAATTTGGGATATCAGTCCTTTTATTTACTTACATTTGTTAGACCTAGCTCAGTCTCTAGGGTCTAGCTTTTGGTTTGGGGGAATATACAACTTCTTTCGAAAGTTCATAATTTTTGTTTTTATGGAGAAGTCCAACGGCTTCATGGCTCTTTACCAAAGCCTAAAATGGAAACCAAGCTGCACTATGGAATTTAAATTTCAATTGTGTGGCAATAACTATCAATGACTTAAGAAACCCTCCAGTGGAGACTTGTCTTAGGATTCCTAAGCATGTGCTGAGTACTGTCTTTGTGGCCCTGGATGGCCCATTTCTCACCTTGCCTTCCCCTCCCTTACATGTATCCTGCCATCCAGGAATCACAAGCTGGTCATATTTCTCCTGCTTTGTACACTCCTGAGGTCTCTTTCCCCTCCAGAGTCCTTTCTCTCCGTTTGACTAGTATCCATAGAAATTCTGCTATGGGCTTTTCTCTTTCCTTCCAAAAGCATCAACCTCCATGCTTCATGATTTGTGCTCAGCCGTCAGCTCACTCATCTACTATTGTAGTCACCTTTAAGGCACGGCTTGGCCTCTCTCTCTATTGTTGTGCCTGGCATGGTATCTGTCGCTAGCAGATGGTCACTCGGTATTGGCTGAATGAATGGATGAGCAATTTCTTTGTGTCTTGTAAAATAACCTTACTTACTCTTTTTGTTGAACATGTTCCAATGTCGGCGCTTACGTTAATTTTCAAGAGAAGAATTATAGGGAAATAAACAGTGGTGATGTCTTTAGACCATGGCTCAGTGGGTGAAAGAAGCAGGAAAGACAGAGGCTAAGAGGGCAGCATACCCTCAAGCAACCTCTCCACCTCAGTCCCACACATTCCCAAAGGGCAATGGAACAGAAAGTGATATTTACGGATTACTGGCTAATGAAAGTTAAAACCTTTAGTTTTGTGACAAAAACAAAAACAAAAACCCAACATTTGAAACTTTATTTTAAGAGAAATCCCCTTCTCTTAAAATTTGTGTGAGCCTTAAAATGTATAATGTTAAGCCCTCCTCTTTGTGGGGTCCCGTCCCTTCCCTATGTCCATCCCTGTTGCTACAACAGCGGATGCCATGTCTGGGAAGGACACATGCTGAGGGTTTCCTCAGACCCATGGGCACTCTATTTAGTGGTAGGTGAGCATTCTACCACGTTAGTGATGCCTGTCTCCTGCTCCTGATTCTCTTTTTTCTTTTTGTAATATTATGCCTTAGAAAATTGTTGTTTGGTGTGTCCCTGAGTTGTTTTATTATGCTTCTATTTTTTATTGTTGTTCAATGTGTCCCTGACTTTTAAAGACACTTTCAAAGAGTTTAAACTTACTTTCTTTCCAGTGCGTAAACTACCCACAAAGCCTCATCATTTATTTACTATTTTTAGGCTCCCATCTATTTAATCTAAAAAATTTCAACAAAACAAAGTTCTCAAGCTGGGTGGTGGTGGTGCATGCCTTTAGTCTCAGCACTCAGGAAGCAGAGGCAGGGGGATCTCTGTGAGTTCGAAGCCAGCCTGGTCTACAGAGTGAGTTCCAGGACAGCCAAGGCTACACAGAGAAACCCTGTCTCAAAAAATAAACAACACCCCCCCAAAACAAAGTTCTCAAAAAACAAAAATGTATAACAATTCTATAATTGACTCTAACAACAGATGTTTTAAATTTTTCTTTGCAATCAGTTCAGGAAGTGTCACCTAGTCTCAGGGTAGTGTTATCTAGCTCCTCAAAAAAAAAAAAAAAAAAAAAAAAGGGAGGTGTTAGGCCCCAGAAAAGGTAAGAACTTGTTCTTATGGTTAGTGAGCAGGCCAAGGGACCAAGCAAAGCTCTCCTGCTCTGAGAACCAGAAGAGGTACTTCATGAGAAATAAAGTGATGAGAGAGAGGACCCAGAACATCACAAATCTGTAACAGTAGCTGTTAGCATCGTTACAGCCATTATTATTATCACCCCACCATCTCCATCACTTTAATTATCTACATCAGCTTCATCAGCAGGGCTCCTATTTAAGAGCCGCTCACTTCTGGCTCACTTCTACATAAATGTTGAACACACTGATGCAGAAACTCCCCACTGAGCAGCCTGACAAAGAGGTAACTTAGGCCAGACCCCGCTTGGCTTCCTGCTTAGAGCTTCTGCCGCCATGAGGACATGGTTGTGTCTTTTCTCCTACTTTTGCAATCCCCAGGAAAAGCAGTCCCCCCCACTCAGCTGCAGCCCAGCTTCAGTCTGCTGCATCCTGTTAATACAGCAGGTTCCTCACTCAGGATTCATGGCTGCCTCCCCCCAGATGAACAACACGGAAGACCACACACATTTTCCTCTCCATCAAAGGCTATTTTTAGGAGAAGAGGGGCCTCTGTGTAATCATCCCCTCACCCTGGTCTGAAGCCGGCAACCATGCCTGTGGGGGGGAGGAAGGCCTACATCTCTCTCTGTGAGAGAATGAAACAGAGAAGGAATTTTGGAGGAGGCTGAATTGTGCTCAGTCCTCCACATAAGACACAAGCCACAGAGGGTTTTCCAGACAGCTTCCTGGTCTGTAGTTGTGCAAGCTGAACTGTGCCCCAGTGTAGGAGGCAACAGCCACCTTATTGTCATGGGAGTTTCCTATTTACTGGAATATTTGGGTGGCTTTGTATTTCTGGAGGTCTAGGTATGACATACTATGTTCACGAGTTGGATGATGCTGAGAAGATGGGGTGGCTGTTTAAAGAAAAGCTGACCCTTCAGGGGTATCGGCCCCTTCCTCTTTATAATGGGTAGTAGAATGGACAGAGTCACAGACTGAAAAACAATAAAGAATTTTAACTAAGAGTGTGAAAAACTTTGAAAACAAACAAACCAACCAACCTACTTTCTTTGCTCTAAAGTGGGGAAAATACTAAGTCAATGGATACCTGGATTTAAGCCTTGCGATGAGCTGGATAGCTTTGAGAGTGTGTGGGTACCTGCGGGGAGAAGGCTGGTAGAGGATTCAGTAGCCATTGAGGAGATTTTACTCAAGGTTTTAAAGGTGAAGCCCTGCAGGACTCATGGTGCTGAAACTGTGAGCGGAGAATCTTTGATGAGGGAGAGCATGCTGATCAGCTGATGCTTGACATGTGCGTGGTAGCCACAGGTGTGTGTGTGTGTGTGTGTGTGTGTGTGTGTGTGTGTG